GGGATGAGTCCACGCCATCAGCTCCCTGCGACTGGCGTGGCATTGTCTGTTACAACAATCGAGTCCGCGAGCTCCGCTTGCCTCGCCTCCAACTCGGTGGCCAAGTCAGCAATCAGCTATCCAACTTACGCGAGCTCCGCAAATTAAGCCTCCATTCTAACAACTTTAACGGCTCCATCCCTGACGCGCTCTCCCAATGTGCTCTCTTACGCGCCGTTTACTTGCACAATAACTCATTCTCCGGCAACCTCCCGCCTTCCATTTTTAACCTCACCAATTTACAAGTCCTCAATGTAGCTCATAATTATCTCTCCGGCAAAATCGCCGCCGGTATTCAGTACTCCCTCCGGTACCTCGATTTATCCTCAAACGATTTATCCGGGAACTTCCGTCGAATTTCCCGGCACAGTCTCAGCTCCAGCTTATCAACTTCTCATACAACCGGTTTTCCGGTGAGATTCCGGCGAGTATAGGGAAGCTCCAACAACTACAGTACCTATGGCTCGACTCGAACCAGTTGTATGGAACATTACCGTCGGCAATAGCGAACTGTTTTTCGCTGGTACATTTAAGCGCAGAGGATAATTTACTTAAGGACTGCTTCCGGGAAGTATCGGAGCGGCTCCGAATCTTCAAGTGCTGGCTTTATCGCGTAATAGACTTTCCGGTGCTATACCGGAAAGCATTTTTTGTAAATCGTCAGGGAATGTTACGACGTCGTTGAGGATCCTCCAGTTAGGATTTAATGAGTTCACGGAAGTTGTTAAGCCGCAAAGTAATGGAAGTTGCGTGGCGGCTTTAGAGGTTTTGAACCTTCACGTGAACCAAATCCATGGCGTTTTCCCTTCTTGGTTGACCAGTTTGACCACGTTGAGAATATTGGATATTTCTGGAAACTTCTTTACAGGTTCATTACCGGTTGAAATAGGCAACCTGTTTAACTTGGAAGATCTTATAGTGGCGAACAATTCGTTAACAGGTTCAGTTCCGAGTCAGCTCCTACAATGTGGTTCGTTAAAGATCGTCGATTTTGAAGGAAACCGGTTATCCGGGGAAATACCGGTTTTTTTCAGCCAAATGAAGCGCTTGAATAGTATATCGCTGGGGAGAAATCTGTTTTCTGGGTCAATCCCGTACGGATTCGGGAACATTTCTGGGCTTGAAACGTTGAATTTGAGTGGAAACAATTTGACCGGAAAGTTACCGGAAGATATAGTGGGGTTGAGTAATTTAACCACTTTAAACCTCGGCAATAACAAATTTTCTGGAGAAATTCCTGATGGTTTAGGGGATTTATTTGAGTTTGGAGATTTTAAATTTAAGTTCATGCGGATTTACTGGGGGAATTCCAAGGAGTATTGGGAATTTGATGAAAATAACTTATCTTGATTTGAGTACGCAGCAGATTTCTGGAGAGTTGCCAATCGAGCTTTTTGGGTTACCAAATTTGCAGGTTGTTGCTCTACAAGAAAACAGGTTGTCTGGTAAGGTTCCTGAAGGTTTCAGCAACTTGGTTGATTTGCAGTACTTGAATCTCAGTTCCAATGGATTCACTGGTCGGATTCCGAGTAACTATGGTTTACTGCAGTCATTAATTGTGCTTTCAGTAAGCTTCAATCGAGTTTCAGGCATAATTCCAGCAGAGCTTGGTAGCTGTTCTAATCTTGAAGTGCTTCAGCTTCGTTCGAATCATCTGAGGGGCAATATCCCAGGTGATATCTCTCGGTTATCTCATTTGAAAGAGCTTGATTTGGGTTTGAATAATTTAGAGGGAGAAATCCCAGAGGAATTCTCCAGATTTTCATCTATGACTACTCTTTTTATTAGATGGAAATCAGCTATCGGGTAACATACCAGATTCATTGTCAAAACTATCCAATCTAGCAGCTTTGAATTTTTCGTCAAATAACTTGAGTGGATCCATTCCATCAAGTCTTTCAAACATGTTTAGGTTGAGGTACTTGAATTTATCAAGAAACAATCTCGAAGGTGAGATTCCGAATGCACTCGGTTCTCGGTTCAATAATCCTTCTGTGTTTTCGATGAATAAAGAACTCTGTGGAAAGCCATTGAACAGAGAATGTGCTAATGTAAGAAATAGGAAACGTAGGAAGCTGATCCTATTAATTGTTGTAGCTGCTGGTGGAGCATGCCTTGTTGCGTTGTTCTGTTGTGGATATATCTACGGCCTTTTACGTTGGCGTAAGAGGCTCGGAGAATGGGCTGCAGGGGAGAAGAAAAGAAGTCCATCCGGTGCGAGTTCGGGAGCAGACAAGGGTAACGGAAGTGGCGAAAATGGAGGTCCAAAATTAGTCATGTTTAATAACAAGATAACGCTGGCAGAGACACTAGAAGCGACGAGGCAATTTGATGAGGAAAATGTCATGAGCAGGGGAAGGTATGGACTTGTGTTCAAAGCAACCTATCAAGACGGAACAGTCCTGTCCATCCGTCGCCTTGTTGATGGATCTATCGATGAAGGTATCTTCCGAGAAGAAGCCGAATCGCTAGGCAAGGTAAAGCATCGAAACATAACAGTCCTACGAGGCTATTACGCTGGACCACCGGATTTAAGACTCCTTGTGTATGACTACATGCCTAATGGAAACTTAGGCACTCTCCTCCAAGAGGCAAGTCACCAAGATGGCCATATGCTCAACTGGCCTATGCGTCATCTCATTGCACTTGGTATTGCTCGTGGCCTAGCCTTTTTGCACTCGTTGTCAATGGTTCACGGTGATATCAAACCACAGAACGTACTCTTCGATGCCGATTTCGAAGCTCACTTGTCCGAATTCGGACTAGAGCGGTTGACCATCGCCACCCCAGCAGAAGCTTCCTCATCTTCAACCCCGGTTGGTTCACTAGGCTACATAGCACCAGAATCTTCATTAACAGGTCAACCGTCGAAAGAAGCCGATGTGTACAGTTTCGGAATCGTGGTATTAGAAATTCTGACGGGAAGAAAGCCGGTGATGTTTACACAGGATGAAGACATCGTGAAATGGGTGAAAAAGCAATTACAAAAGGGTCAAATTTCGGAGTTGTTGGAGCCGGGGCTTGTTGAGTTAGACCCTGAATCATCGGAGTGGGAGGAATTCTTGTTGGGGGTTAAAGTGGGACTCCTTTGCACGGCAACGGATCCGATTGATAGACCGTCAATGGCAGATATTGTTTTCATGTTGGAAGGTTGTAGGGTAGGACCCGAAATCCCATCCTCAGCTGATCCAACCTCTCTACCTTCCCCCATTTGATATTTTTCCACTTGTCTTTTCAGAAATTTATTTGCACCAAAAGTCCAAAGATGCCATTCTTGATCATTATATTGTTTTTTTTTTCAATTTCATAATGTGTCTCTTGCATTTTTCTTGATAATATTCTGGTGAAACTGTACTATCGTTCCTTTATTCGAAACTGGATGAATGTTGAATATACTAAATATATATTTGACATATGAATTTTTTTTATAGAAAATTGAGTGAGGAAGATAATCCAGGGACGGGGACAAATAGCCGTTAAGTGTGTCGTTGGTGTAGAATAAAATAAAAAGAAATTAAAGAAAACGAAGTCCTTGAAACTGTGGGAGTTTAGAGTTTTTTATTGGAAAAATAGACTTGCTAATATTTAGAAGCATTGTCGGCCACGTCGGATTTTCGTATGGAATGTTGAGAGGCACGTGGAGCCCCTCTTTATGTCACTTTCTCACTTGATGTGAATGTAATAAACAAAAACTGCCACAAATGCAGATAATAGATGTGGCACGGAGTTTGCATGGTTTCGAGTTTCAGGGTCCCACCTTCGGTATCAGCCAAGGAGCAGGATACGTATTAATAAAGATCCAATCCATATAAAAAAACAATGGAGTGCTGAGTGTAGTAACTGTAGACGACGACGTGTCTCGTGAGTTCAGCATTCGGGGACAAGGGGGTTATTATATCTCCAAAGCCCACATTCAATCCGATCATGACATTGAACCTGCTGCTAAGTGTCACTGTCTATTTGCCTTGAAACAATCACCATAATTCACATACAACCAAAGTATTCTAGTCGATTGTGAGAGCCTCAACCGCACTCTTGATGACACCATCTACTCAAGACTCCACTTTTATAATGCTATATCAATTACAATGGCAATTTAAACATTATTTGCTGATGTGTCAATTATATGTTGCAATCAGTTTTCAAACAAAATTTATTCATCTTTTTACATCCTTTTAGTCCCATCAATCAGTAAGGAAATTAAAGATACAACCCAAAACAATATATATGTCTGTGGGGACAAAACTATAATCAAAATTAAATACAAGAATTAGGGACAAGACTTGGTTTGATAAATATTCAAACTGTCCTAGACCTGAAATGTCTTTACAAGCCAAACCCTTCATCGTTCGTCACTGTGTGTGTATATTGACCAAAAGAATGTTACAAACAATGGAACCCTATGATCAGGTACTATACGACAAGCGTGTAAGGAAATTTCTATGCTAATTACAAGCCTTCGGGTAAGGGATGAGTAGCAGGGTGAGGTGAGACAAATCTCCTACAAGCATACGCCATGGCTGAATGGAATCCATCTCTATTTTCAAGGAACACGAAATGGCCAGCCTGTACATGATAGAGATGCAAACAAGATAAGGAGTCTGAGAGGACAAATAGCTATCAGGTCCTAAGATAATAGCTTTCATGGCAAAATAAAATGTCTTTAGCAGGTAATGATCCCGAGTTTATTTCTTGTATATGGCAGAAGTGAACAAACGTTAGGAACCCTGATAATTTCACATGGGACCACCATTCTTTTGCGAGCCTCTTGAGCTCCTTCGTAGTTCATCCAATCTTCAGTCCCGTATATAAATGTCGTCAGCACTTTCCATTCAGATGCACTATTCACAGGAGAGAAAAAAAACAATACCGTCTTCCCAGAATCTGAAACCATGTCTTCTTAGTAGATTGCATACCTGCTCTAAACTCTAGCTAGGGGTTCATATGGTATACTCTTAGATCAGCCAGCTTAAAAAATCTTGAATGTGTGCTATAGTTTTGATTAGATGTTATGCACTTTTGCATTAACCTATCATATCAATCAAGTCAAAATCTTTTAGGCTCCCCTAATCCTCTTCTTGTTGGCACTTGAGACCGGAGTGAAGCTTTATGATCATTACTAGGGCATTACTCTTTCTTCCCTTGTACGGAATCAATGTTTTCAAATCAGAACATACTTGCATTCTAAGAAATGTTTTCAATTCAAATGCGAGATATTGTACAAATAAGATTCCCAAAAGTCTAAACAGAATCTTGATGAATATAAATTTGCAGGTATTAGCCACTGCAATGAACCCAATCAATAAGTAAATAAACACTTCTACAGCACCAATAGCAATTCGGCAGGGTAACAGAACCTGTTTAAAAGGGGCTTCCGAGTCATTGCTCCAAAAGAAAATATATATTTTAAGCACAGCTCTCCACTTGCTTTGGCAGCTGACGTATGATATGCATAATCTTCAACCGCGAAGAAGGAAAAAAATAGCTATTAGATTAGAAATCTATTATTTACATATACATAAGCTACATACTGAACCTAAAAATCACATCATACCTGTTAGAAGTCTATTCTGCTCCTCTGTCAGTACAATCTCAGGTGAATATCTAGGACAAAACCTACCAGTCGTATACTTGCGTACAAGATTCGGACCCCAAGGACCTAAACCTCTACACACACAATCATCCAGAAAATGCAAAGCCATTAATTAAACTACTTGATTCCAGATTCAATCCATGACAAGCAAACGAATGAAATAAATCAAATCAAAGTAACAGGAATTTAACATCAATACAGAAAAAGGAAACGTAAAAATTATTCCAACAACAGTTTAAGGTATAAGTAACCAACATAAGAGGTGTATCGGAGAAATAACCTAAATAAGAGCCGATGAAGAGCAAACATATTAGTTCACTACAACAATGGATTACCAAGGATCAAGTTGGAACCCCTTTTGTCCCTAATAATGAATAAGCTTACTAAATGCATTTAGAGCGTAGCTCTGTAATGATATAGTTTTAGCAGATCACCCCAGAGTAATGGTTAATGTTAGAATCAGCCGTGTAGAAGTCTTGTTTGTTTAGGAGTCTTTTATTTAAACTACCGTATTCTCCTAAATTCAATGATCATATTTATCTTCCATTACCTCTTTTATTCTTTCTCTCTCCTTCGGTTTATTTCCTTAGATTATAACAGTTAATACATGAGCTTGATATCTGTTTGTGGGCGTAGAAAACAGAATAGCATAATTACAAACCTTACAAGTTTCTGAGGAGTAAAATTTGACTCCCACAAATGATACATGATTGATCCTTTCCATGTTTCTCTGATGCGGGCGAACCACTTAAATCTGATATCTGTCTGATTCTGACGAAAATCCAGCAGGTCCCAATAAAATTAAGTGTTGAACATGTTCAGGATGCTACAAAACACCTTGAGAGCATACTTAGAAGCAATATATCCTCCTAAAGAATGTCCAAGTAATATAAGGATACTGATATTTTTTGCTTTACGCCATTCCTCAAAAGAATCAACAAACCAATCCTCAGTCTTTGCATCATCCGTACAAGAAAAGGTGAGAAACACATGTGATTGCTCTAGGAACTTCTAGAAAACGAAAAGGTTCAAAAGGATTCTTTGCATTCCACTTACAAACCTTCAGTGCTTTTGCATTTGAAGTCAGGCCTGCTTAATCCACCCCAACTGGAGAGAAAGTTGAAGAAAAAGTAAGGAACTATAATGACATATTGATAACAAGCTCAAAATGCAGAATGCATGCCTTTGGCAGTTGAAATTAGAAACATCTGCCGCTTAAATAACATAAGCCTTTAAGAAACAGCTGATTCTTTAATAACACTTTATAAGTATTCCGTTTCCTAAAGCATAGATGAAACTGAAAACTGATGAGTTGAAGTTCATAAGGGAGCTCACTGCTTACCCAAGCAGGTCAATGGCAATGACCTGGAAATGATTGGCAAGATAATCGAAATTCTTAAAAAAGAAACCCTGAGAAGCAGCATATCCATGTATCATAACAAGTGTAGGAGAACCTTCTTTGCTATCAAAGGTAACTGTATTTTCTTTTGGTTACGGTGATTGATGCCGAGATCGAAACGGGGGTTTGTTAATTTCTTGGTCAACGGTGGAGAAAGTGGTATAGCTCTTCTAACGATGGGGAAATCCACGCATATTGCTTGCGTTTTATATCGGATAGCTTTGATGTTGAGTCGATGAGAATTGAGATGTAGATGGCCCTGGGGAATCTAATTAATTGATTATTCGCGCTGAATTTCCATAGTCGGTAGTTTTAAAATGAAAACCACTTGGTCAACCACCGCCTTTAACCACCAACAAAGCCAATTGTCGCATAAATTCAACAATACTAAAATTCTATAATTTAAGTGAAAAACATTAAGATAGAAAATGAAAGTTATAGAGACAAAGAATGTTTTATTGACCACAAAGAATCGTACAAAACAATGGAACCCTGTAGTTATGTATTATACAAGTGTGTAAAGAAATTACAACATATTTTGCTTCTAAGCTGATTCCAAGCCTTGAGGTAAGGGTTGAGTATCAGGGTGAGGCGAAAGAAATCGCCTACAAGCATACGACATGGCTGAATGGAATCCATCTGGATTTTCAAGGAACACGAAATGTCCAGCCTGCATATGACAAAAATGCAAACAAAATGAGTCCGAGACGACGATATAGCATTCGGGTTCTAAAATAATAAAGCTTTCATAGAAGAATAAAATCTCTTTGGCTGGTAATCAAGCCCAAGTTAACTTCTTAGATATGGTACAAGTGAACAAACCTGAGGAACCCTGATAATTTCACATGGGACCTTCATCTTTTTGCGAGCTTCTTGAGCTCCTTTATAGTCCATCCAATCTTCACTCCCATATATAAACGTCGTCGGAACTTTCCACTCGGATGCACTATTCAAAGAAAAAGAAGAAGAAACTCAATCCTGTCTTCTGAAAACCTGAAATCATCTCTTGTCATACTGCTCTATACTCTACCTAATGCTTTATATGGCTGGTCAGGTTAAAATCTTGAATTTGTGTTCTAGTTTTTATTAGATGTTATTCACTCATGTATAAACCCCTTATATCAGACAAAATATTTAAGTTTCCATAATCCTCTGCTTGAAGTGAAGACATGCACTAGCATTATCATCTCCTCGTATGACACTTCAGATCAGAGTGAAACTTCATGATCATTACAAGGGCATTACTCTTTCTTTTTTTTATCATCCTATGAACAGAATGTTTTCATGGAGGATACATAATTGCATTCTAGAGAATGTTTTCAAGTCAAATGTGGGAAATTGTGCAAATAAGATTCCCAAATATCAAAACGGAATCTTGATTTATATAAAAAAATATAGGTGTTAGCCAATGCAACGAACCCAATAAATAAGTAAATAAATGTTTTTACAGGGAAACCAAACCTGTTTAAAAGGGGCATTCGAGCAAATGCTCCAAAAGCAAATATATATTTTAAGCACAGCTCTCCACTTGCTTTGGCAGCTGAAGTAGGTACATATATCTTCATCCATGAAGAAGAGGGGAAAAATAGCTGTCAGTTTTTATTATTGCATACACGAGCAATACACACTGTTTTTACAGGGAAACCAAACCTGTTTAAAAGGGGCATTCGAGCAAATGCTCCAAAAGCAAATATATATTTTAAGCACAGCTCTCCACTTGCTTTGGCAGCTGAAGTATGGTACATATAATCTTCATCCATGAAGAAGAGGGGAAAATAGCTGTCAGTTTTCTATTATTGCATACACGAGCAATACACACAAAAGTTATAAATCTTATCATACCTGATAGAAGTCTATCCTGCTCCTCTGTCAGTACACCCTCAGCTGCATATTTAGGACTAAACCTAGCGGCCGTATACTTGCGTACAAGATTTGGACCCCAAGGACCTAAACCCCTGAATACAGAATCATCAAGAAAACGCAAAGCAATTACTTACACAATTTGATTCCAGATGCAATCCATGACAAGAAAACAAATGAAAAAAAAATCAAATCGGAACAAGAGGTCTTTGACAGCAATATAAACAAAGGAGACCTATAATTTTTTTCCAACAACAGTTTAAGGCATAAGTAACCAGCAGAAGAAGTAAATTGGAGAAATAACCTAAATAAGAGCCCATGAAGAGCTGACAGATTAGTTTTCTAAAGCAATGGATTACAAAGGATCAAGTTGGAACCCCTTTTTCCCTAATAATGAATAAGCTTACTCGATGCATTTCCTGGATAGCTCAGTAATGATATGGTTTTTGCAGATCAACCCAGAGGCCAGAGCAATGATTAATGCATGAGCTTGATTTCTGGTTGGGGGATTACAAACCTTATGAGCTTCTGAGGAGTAAAGTTAGACTCCCACAAATGATTCAAAATTGCCCCTTTCCACGTTGCTCTGAACCGGGTTACCAACTCGGCTTTGCTATCTGATTCTGCTGTTGAAAATCCAGCAGGGCCAACTAAAATTAAGTGTTGAACATGTTCGGGATGCTACAGAAGAAATGTAAGGGGCATTAGAAGAAAAATGTACTATCAAAATACTTGTTTCATTGAAACATTTAAAATGTAAAAGCAAAAACCTTGAGAGCATATTTAGAAGCAACATATCCTCCAAAAGAATGTCCAAGTAATATAAGGTTACTGAGATTTTTTGCTTTACGCCATTCCTCAAAGGAATCAACAAACCATGCCTCAGTCTCTGCATCATCAATACAAGAAAATGTGAAATGCATGCAAATGCTTTAGGAACTTCTAGAAAATGAACAGGTTTGAAAGGATTCTTAGCATTCCTCTCACTAACCTTCAGTGCTTTTGCATGTAAAGTCAGGCCTGCTAGATCCGCCCCAACTGGAGAGAAAGGTGAAGAAAGAGTAAGAAACTATAATGGAACAGAAATATCAAACTCAAAATACAGAATGTGTGCCTTTAGAAATTGAAATAAGCACCATCTGCTTCTTAATAACACATCATAAGAATTTCGTTTCATGAACTACAAATGAACCCAGATAACGATTGGATTGAAGTTATCACAATTGCAATTTAGCTTGGTCATGCCAAGAGCATAATCTTTAAAGAAGGAAGGAGCTCACTACTTACCCAAGCTGATCGATGGCAACGACCTGGAAATTATTGGCGAGATAATCGAAATTCTTAAAAAAGAAACCCTGAGAAGCAGCATATCCGTGTATCAAAACAAGTGTGGGGGAACTTTCCTTGCTATCAAAGGTAACAGTATTGATGAACCTCGGCTCATTGCTCGAAGAACGAAACCATCTAACTTTAGAATCAGGGGGACCTGAACCTATATTCACTTGTTCTTGGACATATGGAGTCCTGAAAATTTCAACAATCCACCCATAATTATCGAATTCCTATACAAGTTTTCGCCAAAAGTAATGAAATTAAAATGATATACCCAATTACCCACTGATAATCCAAATTAAAAAGAACAAAGGAATTATATGAAATATGAGAATTCAAGTAACGTGCAATCGAAATTTCCAACTTTTTAAAGCGTAAGCTTAGGGAATCCAAAAGTAATTTGATAAGCAAACGGGATTGAAGGTTTACATACTTGACGAGGGAGAGAAGGCGTTTCTCGGCGGCGATGATGTGATCGGTAGATGTCGGAATCCAACGGAGAACGGACGGCCATGAGGATTTTCGTTTGACTACGGTGGTTGATGAGGAGGATTGAAATTCGGGTTTGTTAGTTTCTTCCACCATTTTTATCGAAATCAAGCTGGAGGAACAATGGAGAGAGCGGTTCGTACAATGTATGGGTTGTTTCTTTGCTTAGAGGATGGGAAAACACGAGCATTTTTCTTCGTTTTTATATTCAAAAGATTTGATTTTGAGTACGTCTAGAAGGGGAATATTATAATTCAAAAGAAGGTGGCGTTGAATCAGAACGCGTTTGCTGAAGCACTCCATGATCACTGCTCGGTATTGGAATTTTTATTTTTGACTTTTTTTACTGTATTTTTTTTATTGATTTGTCTTATTTTCATTTTACTATCACATTATTTTTTTAGTATTATTGTTTAGATTAACCAGCATAATTTAATCACTTCCGTTTAATATTTATATATTTTTTTATCAAATTTAAAAAATATAATTTTTAGTCAATTGTATTATTATTTTATTAAGTTTTGATCACCCAGACGTTGTGGTTAGTTTGATGATATGGCTAAAAGGGTTTAATTTTTAATTTAACCCCTGAATTTTAAATAAGATAAAAATTAGGAACCTTTTTATAAATTCAAAATAGTTTAGGGGTAAACTTCTAATTTACCATTTTTCAATATAATTTTCTTCTCAAGCCCTCCTAGCTTGCGCTGCACGCCCCTCCTTGGTTTCATCTTCTCCGTCGAACGGAGCAAGGTGTATGAAACCTCTATTGTTCATTAATCCCTAGATTTGTAGGTTATTGTTAAAAATCTGGAACAAGTGGTTTTTATGTTCTTGAATTCCATTTATGATTCCCCCCTTGTATGAGAGTAATTCATCTTGCTGCATACGCATGACGTCTCTCTGGATCTTATAATCAACATAAAAACAAAAATATAATGGGCATATCAAACTGGGAAAAACAAAAGCATGCATTAGATTGCTAAAAGATTTGGTGTTGCAGTGGAGTTGGATCTTATTTGTCGCTAACATTCCTTGATATGGTCTTCTTATGCATCAATTCTCCGCTCTTTCCACCTTGTTTACATTGTCTGTATTCCTTTTTTTTCTTCCTTTAAGCCTCTTCGCTGATGGCTTTTCTCAATTCCCTGCTAAAAGAAGAAACCCCTAAATGCATATTGATGCTTGTATCCGGAGAAATGTTGAATGTGACTTAAACGATGAAATCGATGAAATGTAGAATGTAGTTGAATTGTGTGTTCTATTACAGTAGAGATTTCATACACCTTGCTCCGATCGACGGAGAAGATGAACAGCAAGGAGGGGTGTGCGGCGCAAGCTAGGGTTTGAGTATAAAAGTATATTGAAAAAGGGTAAATTAGCATTTTATCAAAATTTTAAAGGTTAAAGTGAAAATTAAACACTTTTACAACATGTCATGTGATCAAACTAACAGCAGTCAATGTCTCAGTGACTAAAACTTAATAAAATGATAACATAAATGACCAAAAATTAAATTTTTTGAATTTGATGGGAAAAAGTGAACAAATATTAAACGAATATGGCCTATCATGTAATTTACCATGTTGTTTATGTGTAATAAATAATCAAAAATTATAAGAAGCTAAATAAAAATAAAGGCAATTTTATCTAAAATTCACCCAAAATTTAAAAAAAAACACCAATTTAACATCATTTATCGAATATGTATCAAACTAGCGCCCTTTTTAACAAATAGGTGGAGGCGTGTTGTGTGAAACATATCTTATTGAGTTGGCAATAAGGCGCGTTGCAGGGGGACGCTTTCCAAATGAGTTGGTTCCACGTGGGAAAGTGTGTTTCAAGGGCCATGCCTTCCGTCTCGTTACTCTCGCCCATAATTTTCGCCTAAACCCCTCCCCTCCTCTATATAAACCTTTTCCTATATTCAAACATAAATGGGGTTGATGTAAATAGTATCCCGACTGGGAACATGATGTATGCATATAAGTAACTGAAGTATGCAGATAAAATATGACATAAATGAAAGGCTTGTTCCAGAAGAAGTATTTTTGCCTTTTTTAGAGAATCTATATCATGTCATAGTGTCTCATCCCCTCAAACATAAATGGGATTGACATGAGTAATTTCATACTAGGAGCATGATATATCATGTAGTTCACTAAAGTATGCAGATAAAATTTGACATAAAGGAAATGTTCATTCCACAAGTAGCGCTTTCGCCTTTTTAAGATAATCTCTGTCATGTTATAGTGTCTCATCCCAACTGAAACATGATATATTCATTTTAATACTCAACAACTCATACTCTCAAACTCTAATTCTCTAAAACTCTAAAACTCTGAAGAGGGAGTTATTTTCAAATCAGATCATTATATCCCCTTAACCTTCAAGAGAAGCACCACTCCTAAGGAGTTAATCAAAAAAAATTCCTTAAAAGTTCATGTTGGAAGTAATAGAAGTCTTCATTTCAATACATATTTCCTACTAATTTTGTTCCATTGACATATACAACATTTGATCTTTCCAACGACGATGATGTTGCTATGATGGTTGATACTCAGATGGTAAATTCACAATCTATTACAGAAATGTATGCCATATTTGTTGAGGTTCGTCAGTTCATGGTATGTTATATTGGCTCATCAAGTTGACATTCTTACTCAAATAATATATAATGATTTCAAATCATTAATGGTAAATCCATATCTTAATGGCATGCCATCAAGTTTAACGGGAAGACTTTCATCAACAACTACTTACGATATCTATCGAGGTGGCTTCACGAACAATCCATATGACAACATCCCTTCAAGTTCAATGGGAAGGCATTCATTTTCCAACTTATTATACCTTAACATGGAAATGCTTTCGAAACAACAGTTTGTTCAAAACCCATATAACATAATGCCTTCAAGTTTCAATGAGAGGCATTCATCTGCCAACTTTTTGGACCTCAATATGGAGATGCATTCGACACAGTAGTATGTTCAAAACCCATACGACACAATGCCTTCAAGTTCAAGGGGAAGACATTCATCTGCCAACTTGTTCGACCTGAACATTGAATTGGCAGAGGAACTCTCATCTCTACCAGAAGAACCTCTTCGTAAGCCAGGTGTGGATGGTGTTGAGATATGATTATTCGTTGAACCCAAATCACCACAATTTAACATGGACTCCGATGATGATGTGTATGAAATTCCCATAATATGACACCAATTGAACCTCCAACATATATGTATGAAGCTAACTATGATGTAATATACGAGCCATAATTCTTGGAAATGCCTAATTTTAGAGACTATGGAGTGTATTCATCATTCAATGATGGTGAGTAATATATTGGAATAGAGTTCAGATCCAAAGATAAAACAATGATTGCAATTATGAATTACAATTTTCATAATTCAAATCGCTCTAAAGTCAATCGATCCATCACCGAAAAGTATGTATGTCACTGTGTCCAACATGATTACGGATGCAACTAGATAGTTAGTATATCAAAGAGGAATAACAACATATGAGAACTAGCAAGATACAACAATCCTCATACATGTTGTGCAATAGGGATCAACCAAGACCATCCAAACTTGGACTCTAATATTATTTACCAAGCCATCATGCCTATGGTAAAAGTAAGCTCTCACATAGTTATTGCAGTGTTGATTTCGAATATACACTCTCAATATGGGTACACCGTCTCCTACAGAAAAGCATGGAAGGAAAAACAGACTGTCATTATAAAGCTATACAACGAGTGTGATTCATCTTACAACGAGCTATCCAATTGGTCTAAAGTAAAGCAAAGATTGAATCATGGGACAATAATTGAGTCCAAAACTCGCCATGCATATGAGAATGATAGAGTGATTCGAGATCAATGTTGTAATATCCCAAATTTTGGACTATTGACTAAAATGTCAAATTCAAAAATTTAAGGACCAAAGTGTAAAGTTGTAAAAGTTTAAGGACTAAAATTTTCAAAAGTTATGTTTTGGGTCTGTAAATGAGAATTTAAGCCCAATAATATAATTTTAGTGGTTTCATATTTTTAATATGGAGTTTGTATAAAAGTCTTTTAAATGATAAAGATCGGTAAAATATTGGGATAATCAGATCGAATCGGAAGGTTACAAAAATTTAAAATAAGGTATTTTTGAGTTATTAAAATTATAATGATAATTTTAATAAGTGGAATTTGATGTGGATTAGTGGAATTTGGTGGAATTTGCACTATAAAGTGGAATAGTGAAATTTAGTGAATAAATTAAATTTTTGAAAAATTGGAAGGATAATGAGATAAATTGATAAATGAGATCTTTATATTTAAATAAGAATATTAAAATGGAGATAAAAGGATGACATGGGAGTATATATTAAGATTCATTAATGGAAATTTTGAATTTTGGGCCAAAATGAAATTTTAATTCATTTTTAATTGGTTTGTAAGACACAAATTCGGAGATATTTTACAATAAATTTTAAGACAAATCCTCTCATCTTCTCCAGCTGCCTGAAACCTCCATAGCCAAGGTGGTATAAGTATGTTGAAATGTAAAAATGGGTATTTTTGGTGGATGATGGGGAATTTGAATTTTATTGAAATTAGGTTTGATTTTGATCTTAAAAGTGTTATGGAATCATATACAAGCTTAAAAGTTATTTAAAAACCACAAAGGGACCAAGTTGTAAGTATTCGATCATGTATGTGTTTTATGAGAAATGTTAATTTTTGTTTTTTTTGTTTTTGTTATGAAAATTGTTAGAAATGATTGGGAACGGATGAAACTAAGCTTGAAACAAAGTTGCAGACCATTAGGCTTGAAAGATTAGGCCTAGGTGGAAATAATTAGGAAAAATTTTGTAAAAATTTCTTTAAGGCTTAGAATGGATATATGAATGATTTCATGTGATTAGAATTAAGTTTTGGATCAATTTGGAGTAATGTTAAGCTTAAGGGACCTTTTTGTATGTTTTGTAAAGTTGAAAGATTATTGGGTAATTGTTGGGAAATTGAAGTATTATACTGGAAATTAGTTTTAAAATAGTGAATTGAACTATTTTGGAAGATGGTGAATGATGAATAGTTAAGTTGGAAGTTTATGAAAAGTTGGTGATGAAATAGCAAAAATGCAAGATTGAAGTATTTCATTTGAAACTATTATTTGAAGTTGAAAATGGTGACTAACATGGAATAACAGTGATGGATAGGGACTAATGG